AAACATGGGAGTTGCAGATTATCTGTGCAACACACTGATTTCCTTTCCTTTAGATATAAACCCAGTAGTGGTATTACTGGATCATAAGATAGTTCTATTTTTAGCACTCAAAGGAATCGTTATGTCTTTTTCCATAATGGCTGTATTGGTTTACATTCCCATCAACAGTATGTAATACTTCTTTTTTCTTGCATCCTAACCATTATTTATTATTTTATGTCTTTTTGATAAAAGCCACTTAACTGGGGTAAGATAGAATCTCACTGTGATTTTGATTTCCATGTCTCTGATGATCAATGAATTTAGTATTTTTAAATGTATAGGCCCATTTCAAGGTACTGTATTAAGAAGCCGACCCATTTTTAAATTAAATTCTTTGCTTTTTTGTTTCTTATTGCTGAACTTTTCGAGTTCCTTATAAATTCTTTTTATTTATTTATTTATTTTTAATTTTTTATATACATTCAATCACATTGTTTAGTTTGCAAAGTGAGTATTTCAGTATGTGAAAGTTTCTCCCCAGTTCAGTTGATCAAAATATCTTCAACCAATAACACCACACCTCCCCAGCCCGTCAATGCTCTGCCTCGGTATTAATCCCTTGTTGGATAAATAATTTATAAGTATTTTCTCCCATTCTATACCTAACTCCTTACTCTGCTAATGGTTTCTATTTCTCATTTGAAATCAACTCATTTGCTTATATTTCCTTTCACTGTCTGTGCTTTTGAGGTCTTAACCAAAAGATTTTTGCCCAGATCAATGTCTTGAAGAATTTTCTCTGTTTTCCTGCAGTATTTTAACAGGTTCAGGTCTTATATAAGAGTATTTGATTCATTTTAAGTTGATATTTTGGAGAGAAAGGATCTATTAGGTCATCAGGAAAGTCATGACATACTTTTATATGTTCTTCTATGCAAAAATGCATCATGACTTTCTCAATGACCCAAGTTTCATTTTCCTACAGGTAGATATCTCAATTTTCCCAGTACAATTTGTTGAGGAGATGGCCCTTTCTACAACAAATGTTCTTAGTAACTTTGACCAAAAAATTCTGATTTACATGCATGGATTTATCTCTGGGTACTCTATTTCATTCCATTGCTCTACATATCTATTTTTATGCCAATACCATGCTGTTTGGTAGCTTTGTAGAACGTTCTGAAATTGGTAATGTGATATCTTCAGCTTCATCATTTTGCTCAGAATAACACTGTCTCTCTGATGTATTTGGGGGCCCCCATAATAATTTTATGATTATTTTTTCTATTTCTGTGAATAATGTCATTTGTATATTGATAGATATTACATACATTGAATATGTAGCTCACTTTTGGTAGTAGGAACATTTTAATAATTGATTCTTCCAATCCATGAACATGAGAAGTCTTTCTATTTTTTTGTGTCTTCTTTAATTTCTGTCCAGAGTGGTTTTATAGTTTTATAGTTTTTATAGTTTTCACCTACTTGGTTAAATTTGAAATTTTTCTACTTTTTGATGTCTGCATGTATTGATGTTTGACTTCTATCTTACACCTGTTCTAGCTTTACCCCAAAGACGATAGTCATATGGTAATCTTTTCTCCTCAGTTCTCCTCCTGGGATTTTGGGCATGCATACACATGTGCCCAGTGTTCAAACCTTCAGATCTGGGCCTCAAACTGTGGTCAGCCATGTGAAAGTCCAGCACCTTAATGCTTCCATTTTCATTTGTTTCAGGAAAATTATAAATTTCCTTCTTTAATTTGTTCATTGACTCAGGGGTCATTCAGGAGCATATTATTTAATTTCCATGGGTTTGTAGTTTCCAAAGTTTATAGATCGTTTTTCTTTTAGAATGTATCATCCCATTCTATTCTGGCATGTAAGGTTTCTAGTGAGAAATTTACTATAAGTCTGAAAAAGGTTCCCCTGTAAGTGTCTTGATTCTTTCTCTTGCAGTTTTTAGACTTCTTTCTTTGCCTTTGGTTTTTAAAAGTTTGACTATAATATGCCTCACAGAGATCTGTTTTGGTTTAATCTATTTAGAAACCTTTAGATTTCTTATATCTGGATGCCCAAATATCTCCTACAATTTGGGAATTATTTAACTATTATTAATGTAAAATCACTGTTCTATGTTTTTGTTTTTTTTTTTAATCTCTCAAGAAATTTCCAAAGTGAGAATATTTGTTCATGTAATGGTATTTCATTTTTTACTTTTAGGGGAAAACTAAGTTATTTAAAAAGACCTATCTTAAATTTTATAAATTATTTATTCTACTTGGTCCAGTCTATTGATAAAATTCTCAATTGAATATTTTATTTCCTTCACTGAATTATTTCAGTCCAAGTTTTTTGGCTTGTTTTTGTTGCTGTTGTTGTTTTAATTTTAGAAAAACAAGGTCTTCCCATGTTATGATCTTTCTTCCCTAGCCTCTCAGTTGCTACCAAAGGCATGTGTTATCACATCCATCTCATCACCCTCCCCCCAGTAACAGGTCTTACTATATTGCCTAGGCCAGTCCCCAGGCTGTAATCCCCCTGCTTCAACCTCCCCAAATTGCTGTATTATAGGCACATGCTACCATATTCAGCCTTTAGGGTGGACAAAGACTTGAACCTAGACCTCGCATGTCATCACAGACTACAGAGCACAATGTCTTAGTATCACGTAACACCACAGATGAACCTCTTTGCTAAATTTCTTATTCAGATCATAAACTGCATTCCTAGCTTCATTGAACTGTCTTTCTAGATATTCTTTTGTATGTTGTTGAGTAATTAAAGAAAAAAATTCTAATTCCTTTTCAGTCATTTTGTAGATTTCCTTATTTTTGAAAGGTCTGTTACTAGAGAATGTTTGTATTGCTTTGGGGTATCATGTTTCCTTGCCTTTTCCATGTTTCTTGTATCTCTGCGTTGATATTTGTAGAAGTACTTGAATAGCCACTTCTACCAAATTTATTGAATGGCTTTCATAATGAAAGAATTTCTCCTGCATTTGGGTCCTAGAATGTCAATTTGGTAAGGGATTCTGGCTTTGACTCCAGGTAGGCATAGAAATGAAATTTGTGTAATTTATTGTGATAAAAGCAATGTCAACAATGCCTGCCAGTGCCCTGTGGTCTGGGATGTAGAGGTTTCCTGGACTGGCCTGCTGATTGGGACCCAGCTCTCCTATAGGCAGGACATGTCTGTGGATGGCTGGAATCACTCTGGCATTTTTGGGTATAGAATGTAGCAGGCAACAGGTTGCCTGGCTGTTTCCACTAATCACAGGAGGGCAAGGCTGCTGTGGCAGCTGCTGGGATGCTGTGTGCTATTCAGTGTTGCCTGCACAGCTTCTCCTGGAGATGTGGAGGAATGAGACCAGCAAAGGCTCCTGGCACAGGCATCTCTGGGCTGAGATGCTCACCCAGCTACTCTCCAACAACACAAGAAAAGGAGCAGGGTCACTCTGGCGCCTCCTGTCACAGGCAGCTATGTCTGAAATCACTTGTCAAGCTGCTCTTGGGGCACGCATAGGGATGGGGTCTCAGTGAGTGTGCAGCTATGGGTGTGGTCATTCATCTGCCTGCTCCCAAAGGACTCGGGGGGAGGGGGTCAGGCTAGTTTAGAAGCTGCCAGTATAGGTGACTGTGGGCTAGGTCACTCGTCTGGCTGATCCCACAGAATGCAGGGGCTTGAGCTACAGGAAAACTGAAGGTGGGGTTATTCTCTTGCTGCTCCCACAGGACACAGTGGGTAATGAGTGAATATGTAGCAGGCTACTCCAGAAGTTCCCTGCATGGGAGGCCTGGGTGGAGTTGCTTGCTCAGGTCCTACAGGATATTGATGGATGTGGTCACAAGATGGTTTTGTGCAGACACAGTGTGGGTGAGAGAGGGTAAAATATCAACTAGATTTTTCTGCAGGGACAATTTGGCAGTGTGAACTCCTGGTCATTCCCTGAACTAAGCTGAGAACTTCTGAAACAGGATTCCCTTGTGTAAAGATTTCATATATCTGAGTTGCTAATGGTGGATACTGCGAGTACCTCACTTACCTCTCACTGTCACCAAAGATCCTTCTAATTGCAAGTCGGTCTTGACTAGGGGAGACAGAATGGCAGAAATGGGAAGCTTTACTTCCCATATAGAAGGCCATCCTCAGTCTCCATCCTCCACAACATTTCTACCAAATCGCCACTATTCTCCAACTTTCTGCAACACTTTGAAATACTCCGGCAGAATATCAGCTAGTCATTCTTTGTTTAGGCCCTTCCTTGCGGAAGAGAAACTCATTGGCACCTCTAGTCAACTATCTTCCCATAAGTTCCAGAAATTTAATCTTAATTATCTTTTAGTTAAAATATATTACTGGTGAAAATATATCAGGATCCAAACTTGGTACTTTCTATGTATAATGAAATAAGAGAAATTTGGTGGTGTTGGAAAATTTTTAAGTATTAAAAATAATTTTTTGATTTACAATATTTAACATCTGATATACTTCAATGAAGTGCAGTGGGAATAAACACTAGAAAGTAAGAAAAAGAGTGTAAAAAGTAGTACTTGTCCTGGCTCTATAATTAACTATTGGGCAGTCTAAAAAGTCAAGACACAGTTTTGCAATAGGAAAACATAGAAAAATACATCATGACTTTTCTGACAACCCCATAGTTGTGTACTTTTAAACGAACCTGTTAATGACTATGGATCTAATTTTATCAAAAATTATTTTGCAGGTGATAAAAATAACTACTAATTCCTTCTATGCTTGAAATTTCTTAACTCAATGTCAGTGAGGAAATAGTTCATGCTGTCAAGACTATAATGAAGATCTATAAATACAGAAACAAAAAATTTTCATCAGAGTCATAAAATAAAGGGTATAGAGGCCTCAAGAGGGAAATGAGCAATCACAAGTCATACAGTGAGTCAGCAGCAAAACCAAATGGTAGTTGCTCAATTTGTTTTGTCCCATAACATCCTATTAATCTAGACTTGGAGGTGATAGGAGAGCACATGCCACCTTACCTGTATGCAAGAGCCAAAGCCCAGGCCCCAGCAGCACAGTACAGACTGTCTTGAATCTTGGCCTTCTGATCACCACCGCACGTTTTAGTAGGAAAGAGACCTGTGGTTGGACTTTGATACAGCAGCAATGTTGACTTGACTGCAGTGAAAGATGAGAGAAACAAAGAATTGTACACCTGCTATTTTTCTGGGGCTAAGTGTCTTGTAATCCTTTTGTTTCCTCACCCCCATTTATGACATTTTGTTGTTTCCCAATATATAAACCTTTTGAAGATGTTCAATGACTTCACATCATTCTAGCGTAAGTGGGAATCTACCCTGCATGAAGATTCTTCCAGTTGTTTTTTCATTTTGTTTTGTTTTGTTTTAATTTTGCCAGAGGGCACACATGCTCACAACAGAAAGAAAGAGAAGAAAAAGGAGAAAGCATCACTAGTGAGGCATGATTACACCACAGTCCCTTTTCCTTCATCTCTCCATCCTGTCAGGATTCTGGGCACAGACACACAAGCACTCATCGCATTTTTCCAGCCACCAAGGCCAGGATTCAAATGTCTCAGTCTCCCATTAGACTCCCTTAATCACTAGGTCAAGAGCAAGACCTAGTTCTTTCCAGGTTTAAGGAAAAGACTCTACTAATTAGGACTTACAAATAATTTTGCATTATCTTAGTTAATAGCAATACTTGTTAAGTTTTATTAAGATAATTATCGGGTATACAAAAACAGTATAATATTAAAGACATAAGTTTAACAGGGAAACTTATATTTGGAAATCACAAAACCATCTCAATTGCTATAAGAAAAGTAAATTATCAACAACTTAGGAAGGATAGAGAAAGATACAGAACAGGTCAGAATTCTGTATTTCACTAATGACTAATTTGTGCCAGGTCTTCAGAACAGTGTATTCATTTGTTTATGCTATAGGTTAGAGATATGTTTAACATTTTAAAATTGAATCTCATCTTTACAATAACATAAAAGCAACAAGTAATTGAGAACTTATACTTAAATAAAAGATATCTGTTAATGTTTTATTATCTTTTATAAAAGGGTCACTAAAATTATGTTTTCTAAAAGTTATTTTATTCCTGTCTAACTATAAAAGGATGATGGTTACCCTAAATAAATTAATCTAACCTGCGCTGGCATATAACAATTACTTTTTTTTTTTTTGAGAGGTTTCTGTTATAGGGCATATAGGGAGGATAGCTATGCTGCAATCCTTTCGCCTCCATTCTCCTCTCGGGATCTTGGGCATGCATGCACACACGCCCAGCATGAGTTTAAGCCACTGGGTCCAGGACTCGAACTGCAGTCAGCTACATGGGAGTTCAGTGACATAGTCATTACGCTAACTGCTGGTCCCTCAATTACTTTTTAGAATAATTTTTCAAAAGCCTAAAGCACTCTAGCCCTTCATAGAAATTAAAGAATCAAAATTGTGTTAGTCTTTCTCAGACTAAACTGATTTAATCATGATCATTTTTTTCAGATTATGAAGGTATTTATTATTTTCCCATAGTAGAGGATTCGTCCCTAGAGTTCACAGTAAAAAAAATGACATTTCTTTAAGATATGTAGTTAATTCTCTTCAGCTAGTTGTTGCGACAAAGATAATTAAAAAGACAGCATAAGAATGTATGCCAGGGAACTGATCAAAATAAGTTGAATTAAGGTTTTACATGAGGTTGAAATAGACAAAACAATGTATATTTCAAGGATAGACAAATCAAATTTTATATTATTTGCTAAATAAGGGTAAGAAAATGACAGAAGAACAGTGACAACAAAAAAAAGGTAATATACATTCCAATTTGTGGTTTGATGTGCAAAGAAAAGTCCTATACATACATATCACATTGAAAAACAAAATTTGCTAGGTTAATCCTGGAAAACTAAAATAAAACTAAGAAAAAAACGGGGAGCTAATATTAATAATGGTAACATATAATTACCTCTTGTAGCTCAATGAATTAGAAATAGATATACAAAGGTTCAGGACTACCTAAGGACACGTATAGGTAAGTGAGCAATTTAATAATTACATCAGATATTTATATTAATTGAAAAATATACTCAAGTTCATAAATCTAGTAAAGTTTAGGAAGGTTAAAACATAGAAGATATTGGTGACAGTTTTAGATTATTCAAGGACGAGATATAAACTACTAGATTCCTTTTACAGTACCAGTACTGATGTGTAATTAGCATACACAGGAGATATCAAAAAAGTTTGTGAGAAGTGTAATTCAACAGTGAGTTTACTTGCTGCAAAAAAAAAAAAAAGAAACTCATGCATACTTTTACTCATATTATGCATTTCCATGAAATTTCTGAAAACCTCTCAAATACCTGCCTAAGCATTGAAATTACCCCTGCATCCAAATAATGAACATCATTAACTACTTAACATACACAAGATAACTAGGACATAGTAAATACTAATCATAGCTATCATAGCTATCTAAAGAGATGTTTTCCTCAGCTTTTGCTTACCAATTCTGTAATAATGATCCAGTTTATCCCATAGAGTTTCATTATCAGGTCTTGGAAGATTAATGCTTTTAAGAGGTTCATAAACTGAGCCTAAAGGAAAAATAAAAACTCATCAAATTCAGTCATTTTCATGTAAACGAAAAATAACTCTAAACAAATGAAGATGCACGACTTAACAATCTCATTTTCATTTCTATGTGTGAACTACCATATTTCACTTCTGGTAAAATTTTTCCTGCAAGAAGGAGAAAGAAAAAGCACCCTTGACAACAAGTATAAAAGAGGACTAAATGTCAGATATTCCCACCCTCATACTCAGCACTCAATCTAAGTAACTGATGTTATTATGGTCCCAGCAACTCAGATATTACTAATACTCATGTGGTAATCACTAACTCAATAATTTCTACTTTACAAAAAATATATTTAATACATGCCCTTAAATCCAAATCTTATTCTTTATGCTGATGCTTCATCAGGCAATTTTCTACAAAATGATCACACTCTCAAAACCTCAAAGAAAAAAGATAATGCTCACATGTTACAAGTAATTCATCCCACAAATATTCAGCTAGGTTTCATACTGAAATTCTTAAGCCTCCACTTTCTCCTAGGTAGATAATACTCTTGCCTTATTATCTGGTCTATAAGCAGAGATCATTTCTACTTCTCCACCATGAAAACTATTCCAAGATGTTAGCAGAGCCTGCTGATCAAATGCTACAAAACACACAATAATCATCATAATTTGCCACAAAATGGATGTAGAAAATTGTTCATTTGACTAGTGCACTTTCTCAACTGCTGACTGAAAGAAAGACATCTGAACCCTTCGTCTTCAAACTATAGCTCATTCTTGCTAAAAGCTCTGTCAAATCATAAATACTTCAAGGTTACAATTAATCTACCTCTAGATTAGGTAATGCATAACATACAGTCTTAAATCATAACATTAAAATGAACCTATAATTTACCTGTGCAGGAGTGAAAGGGGGTATGGATTAGCATGGATTAATATTCTGTTTTAAACACGACAGTATTTAATTGTATATTCATAAGATTGCTATGTCCCATGTGCTAGAGAAAGCCAAGGTATTGGTAGAAATCTCTTTTATGTTTAGGCAGATAGTGAACATTATGAGTTAAGAAAAGGAAGTACAATCAGGCAACAGTCCCATTACCTTCTGTTAGTAAGAGAGATAGTTGGTGGATGAAAACAGGGAATAGAAAATGACCTGAAGACATTTTCTAAAAAAGGAATCTTTACAATTGCACCAACTACAATTGCTCCACAGTGAAGAATGTACAAAATTATCAATGTAAAAAGGGAAACATAAGGACTCCTTGTCTGTAAGACCCCAGACATGTTCCCTGATTTCTAGCTCTAGACAGGTATAAGTACATGAGTAGCCTGGAATTTGAGGAGAAGTAGCATGGCCATTGCTAGTACCTAAGGTTATTAGTTTGGGGAGCCTATACACTGCCAGTGAAGCGCTTTCACAAAGAAAGAAAAAGAAATAGGGAATATATAATCATAAGCTATAAGTTGTATGTATGTGTTGGGTTATCAGGAAAAATACATAGTAAAAATACATCATGACTTTTCTACAACCCAATAATATACAAAGATTAAGGGGAAAAACTTTTCGGGAGTGACAGAAGGTAGAATAGACTTGAAGTCAAAAACTGCAAAGTGAGAGAGCAAATACTATGATAATAAAAGGATCAAACAGCAAAAATATAAAAATTGTGAATATATATGTACCCAACATGGGAGCATCTAAATATATAAAGCAAACATTACTAGCGTTAAAGGAAAAGAGAAATTCTGATATAATAATATTTTGAAACTTCAACATTCTACTCTTAACAATAAATAGAGCATCAAAATGGAAAATCTATTTAAAAAATTGAATTAAACCACACCACAGAGTAAATGGATGAAACAGATATTCATGGAACATTCCATCCAATAGCTATAAAACATACATTTTCTCATCTTCCTAGCTTCTCAATGATCATTTTCTCTAGAACAGATCACATATTATGCCAAAAACTCTCAAGAAATTTACAAAAATAGAAATCATATTGAATATCTTTTGTAACCATAATGGAATAAAACTAAAAATCATTATAAAGGGGCCAGCAGCTGGTGTGGTGGTTAAGGGTGCTAGACTCCCACAATGGCCAAACGCAGTTCAAATCCTGGACCTGGCGGCTTGCTTTCTCACTTCCCCTTTTTCTCTCTCTCACTCTGTCCCTCTCTGGTTAAACTGAACTAAGTAAATAAATAAAGTTAAATAAAATATTTTTTTTAATTATTTAAATAAATCATTATGAAGCGGGACATTGGGAACTATACATACACCTAGAAACTAAACAACATGCTCCTGAACAAACACTGGTTTAAAGAAGAAGTCAAGATTGAAATTTTTAAATTTCTAGAAACAAATGAAAATAAAAGCACAACAACAAAGCCAATGGGTACAGCAAAAGTAACACTAAGGAGAAAGTTTATAACAGTCAGTGCCTAGATCAAAAAAGGGGAAGATATCAAATGAACAACCTAATGATATATTAGACAAACTAGAAAAGAAACTCTTCTCAAAATTACTAGGAGGGAAAAAATAAATGAATTTGACCAGAAATAGAATACAAAAGATGAAATAAAGAGAAATAGTGGGTTTTTTTTTTTGAAAAGATAAACAAAACTGACAAACTATTCACTAGACTAAAAAAAAAAAAAGACATTACAATTGCTAGCATACTCCTAAGAGATACAAAAGATAGAGACTATTAAAAACAATTATCCGGGACCAGAGTTGGCATAATGGCTATGTCTCTAGACTCCCATGTAGTCGACCGCGGTTCAAGTCCCAGACCTGGTGGCTTCAACTCACACTGGGCACATGTGCAAGCATGCCCAAGATCCCAAGAGGAGAATGGAGAAGGGACTGCAGGATAGCCATATCCCTGGGGGATGATTTCTTGCTTTCTGTCTCTCTGTCTCTCTCTGTCTTTCTGACAAGCACATGTGCCCTATAGCAAAAACCTCTCAAATACACACACACACACACACACACACACACACACACATATTATCCACCAAAAGACTGAAAAAAGTAGACAAAATGGATAAGTCCCTGGACACATCTTCCTGACCAAGTATAAACAGAAAGAAATAGAAAACCTGAATAAGCCAATAATGAGTAATGAGACTGATTGACTAATAAAAAGTTACACAAAAATCAAAAGCCCAGAACCAATGGTTCACTACTGAATTCTATGAAACCTTTTCAAACTATTATCAAAAAATCGACATAAATAAACCTTTAAGGAGACCAGCAGAGGGACCAGCAGTTAGTGTGATGGCTACATTACTGGACTCCCATATAGTCGACCACAGTTCAAGTCCCGGACCCAGCGGCTTACGCTCACGCCGGGTGCGTGTGCATGTATGCCCAAGATCCAGAGAGGAGAATGGAGGAGATGGGATTGCGGCATGGCCATCCCCCCCCCACTTCCCCGGGGCAGTGATTTCTTGCATTCTATCTCTCTGTCTCTCTCTGTCTTTCTGGCAAGCACACGCGCCCTATAGCAAAAACCTTTCTGAAGAAAAAAAAAAAGAGGCTAGCAGGTTGTGTGATGATCAAGGTACTGGATCCCATGTGACCGACTCTGTGGTTCAAGTTTCAGATCCAGCAGCTAGAAAAACATGTGGGGTGCATGTGGGTGAGTACCAAAAATCCCAAGAGAAAAATGAAGGAGGAGGGATTGTGGTGTGGCCATTTTCCAGGGAGGGATTTTTCACTTTCCCTCTCTGTCTCTCTCTGGCACACACATTCACCCTATGGCAAAAATCTTAAAAAACAGACAAGCAAACAAAAAAAATCTCTCAAACAAATTTTATGGAGCCAGTATTACTCTGATACAAAATCCAAAGAATGACAAAAAATAAAAATACAGACTAATATTCATGATGAACACAGATGCAAATATCCTCAACCAAATACTAACAAATCAATTCTATACACATGAAAAATTACATATAATTATCAAATTAGATCTATCCTTGGGATGCAAGGATGGTTCAAGATATATAAAAGAAAAGTATAGTACGTTATCAAAATGAAAGACATGAACCATATGATCATCTCAATAGATGCAAAAAAAGCATTTGACTAAATCTAATTTATCTTTAGGTTAAAAATGCTCAACAAATTAGGTATAGAAGGCATGTACCTCAATTCAGTTAAGGCCATATAAGACAAACTCACAGGACCAGCAGGCAGTGTGATAGTTAAGGGGCTGGACATTACCACATGACCAACCACAGTTCAAGTCCCAGACCTGGTGGTTTGCTTTCTCACTTTCCCTCTCTCTCCCTTTCTCTCTGTGTGTCTCTCTGTGGTCAAATTAAAATAAATGAATGAATAAATAAAATTAAATAATTTTTTTTAAAAAAGACAGACTCACAGTAACATCATAGTGAACAGTTAAAAACTGAAAGCTTCTTCTCTAAGCACAATGCAAAAATGTTGACTTTGAGTGCTCTTATTCAACATAGTTCTGGAAGTCCTAGCCAGAACAATAAGATGAAGATAAAAATATAAAAAATAAAAGCATTCAAATTGAAAAGGAGAAACTCATATTGCCCCGTTTGTAGATGACATAATCTTATATATAGATAAACCTAAATGCTCCACCAAAAAACTCGTAGAACTGATAAATAGCGTTGCAGAATACAAAATCAACATACCAAAATCAGTTGCATATCTATACGTCGATAATGAACTAGTCAAAAACAATTTAGATTTAAAAAATCAGTCCTATTTATAGTTAGCTACAAATAAAATGCCTATTAATAAATTTAATAATAAATAAATTCACAAATATGCAAATAATTAAAACTATATAAAAATATAGTTTTAATAATATATAATTAAAACTATAAAAATCAATGAAAGATTTTTTTTTAAAAAAAAAGGAAGGACATCCCACATTCTTAGATTATTACTAGATTATTATTTAAATGTCAAACTACTCAAAACAATCTACAGGGTCAGGACCAGCAGTTAGCGTAATGGCTA